CATGTGTGTGTGTGTGTGTGTGTGTGTGTGTGTGCGCGCTGTCAGAGTGACAGCAGCAGGTGTGTGTGTCTGTCTACTACTAACACACTAATGTGAGTGTGAGTCTTCATCTATCTGCTCTCAGGTGTGTGTGTGTGTGTGTGTGTGTGTGTGTGTGACTCTCAGTGTGTTGATCAGACCTCCTTTCAAAGCCTAATTAGGTTTGGGACTGGGGTAATTGCGTGTGATATAATCTAGCTTGACGTCTAAACCTCCTTTTAACCTACATTTCTTACGAAAGTATTGGACGTTTATCAGTTGATTTATTTCTAGGCTCTAGGATCGGTTTGAAATATAATTGGTTAAGTAATTAATGAGATAAAAATGACGGAGACAATAATACATATGCTGTTATTGCGAAATCCTTAATACCAAATTGAGTACTTGTTAGATCTCTAGCAGTGTTAATGATTGACTCTTTATTTTAACAAGTAAATCTGGACAGTTCTTGTCTTTTGATTCTGTGTGTCTGTCTCATGACATTATGTATTTGACAATATTTGTTACCAGGGATACACAGGCAAGGTTCAATAACAAACACAATACAAGTTTTCATTAATTTGTTGATTTTTGTTTATGATTGATAAAGGGATAGGTTGTGTGTGTATGAATGTGCGTATGAAAGCATGTGTGCATGTTTTTGTTCTTGATGTAAGGCAAACATTGTGCAAACTTGGATGTTCCAGTGATGTGCATTTATGTGTTAAAGTTGGATCCGCAACTTCACAGCAAACTAATTTATATATTTTAGATGCAAAACTGTGTTATGAATGGACTTGGTGTCAAAGTCCAAGTTTATTTTATTTTCCATTTCAGTAAGCTGACATCAATGCTCACTGCCTTAAATTTCATCCACTCTATGTCTATGTGGCATGTTTTATGAAAAGAAAAAAAGAACGATTTTTAAGATGTGGAAGACATATTGTACAGTAGACCAATGTCAGTTTGTATAAAGTACTAAGTAAAAAAAAAATATTTATTACATGCATTGAAAGAAATTGTTTACCTATTGAATGTTACATGTTTATGTAGAGACATTTAGATGTAATAAAATGCATTGAGTTAACTTTGGCTTTTGTCTTGATTAAAAAAAAACAAGCTGATGTGTATACAATTTTATATTTCTTATAGTACATTTAAGAATTCGGACTTTACACTCTACATTTGTGCTGAATAACTCTATAAAAAATTGCTTTTTTTACCTTGCTGTAACTCACAATGTAAGATGGACATAACCCATTTGAGTTGAATGGCATACTGCTCAGTGATAAAAGTCAGACAAGCCTGAATCAATCTGTGGAAAGGTAAGGATTCTAAATTGAGAACTAACCAGGTGCCTGTTAATATTTCAGAAATAATCACAGCCACTGTATCTGGGGCAACAAGCTTTAACCCATTTTCAATTGACACAGACCTGATTTAAGATGATATGGAATGTTTCTTTTTTTATATACAGTATATATATAAATAAAACATGTTTTCTTTTTATGCTTTATCTTAAAGCACCTCTCTCCATTAGGTTGTCATTCATGAATGATAAAATCCACATACAAAGAGTCCAAACAACTAACTCTCATAAAATATGGATAAGTTATGGTTTCTCTCAATTTTGTTCTGTAGCCCACCAGTCATTTTGATTACACATGGTGTTTCAAATGCCATGAACATTGTAAATCTTTTCTACCTTTAAAATAAATCCTAAAATAAGTGCATAGATTTCTGTGATTCCTCCAATTGTCTCATACAATAATGCTCCTGTGACAACTGTCATGTTAGAAACCTTCAGTATCAGGCTGTATTAATATACTAAGGTGACAGTCAACTTGAGCAACTCGACAAAAGCCTTGAGAAAAACTGGTGTATATTTAAATGTGAACAGCAGATGGCAGTGAAAACTTACCAAGATGGCAAGATCCACCTGCTCTTGACTTAAGCAACTATCTTTAACTGTGTATTGACAGCTATTTAGTTTATTTGATTCTTCTTCTGAGGTCATCACCATTTAATGCCTGTAGATTTATAAGTATGTGCTATAGGTACAATCGATCGTTTAAGACTGCAAATCAAGTTTAGTAACTTTGACATAACTAATTTTGTCTGGATAAATATGATATTATATATAATATTTACATAAAAAGATATGAATCTGAATAAACTGTTAAGTATTTCTTTACTCTGTATACTATATATATTACTCTCTCTCTCTCTCTCTCTCTCTCTCTATATATATATATATATATATATATATGTATGTCAGGGAGAAAGAATGAGGATTCAGTAGCGAATGTTCAAAACAACGTTTATTTGGGAATACCCAACAAGGAAGATGACGAGAGTCAGATAGGTGAAGGGTTGAGGTAACTCCGGGTAGCGCAGGGACACCAACGGGCAGCCGATGGTCGAGGTGACGTGCAGCGAAGTCCTCGGCAAGGAGAAAAGGAAACTCCAGGAACAGGTCAGGAACAGAGAGACACGAACTGAACACGGTGACAACATGAAACGATCTGACAACACAGGACAGAAAACACAGACATTAAACAGGCCAGCTGAGAAGCCACAGCTGGCGCTTAATCAGCTGATGGCGCTGATCACCAGCACACAAACCACACCCACACCCACAATGACTCGGAGAGAGCTAGAATGAGTCAGTGAGCCCATGAACCGTGACAGGACCCCTCCCCCTAGAAGCGCCGCCTGTCCTCCGGACCGTAACCTTCCCAGTCCACCAAGTACTGAAATCCGCGTCCCCTCCGTCTTGAGTCCAGAATGCGGTTAACCGAATAGGTGGGTTCCCCGTCAACGAGACGCGGTGGTGGGGGAACCGGGGTAGGCGGATTAATGGGTGAACGAAAAACGGGTTTTAATTTGGAGACATGGAACACGGGATGAATTCTCCTGTACGCCGGAGGAAGTTTGAGGCGGACTGCCACCGGACTAAGAACTTTGGTGACAGAAAACGGGCCAATAAATTTGGGAGCTAGCTTATTACAAACGGATCGGAGAGGAATATTCTTGGAGGAAAGCCACACCTTTTGACCAACGACATAAACGGGATGCTTCGACCGGTGGCGATCGGCCTGAGCCTTGGTGCGCGTCCTCACTTGGAGAAGAGTCTCTCGGGCTCTTTTCCAAGTGCGACGGCACTTCTGGACGAAGGCGTGAGCGGAGGGGACCGCGACTTCGGATTCCAGACTGGGAAAAATAGGTGGCTGGTACCCTAAACTACATTCAAACGGAGATAGGCCCGTGGATGACACTGGTAATGAGTTGTGTGCGTACTCCACCCATGAGAGTTGTTGGCTCCAGGAGGAAGGATTCTGAGTAACCAAACATCGCAACGCTCTCTCAAGATCCTGGTTGGCCCGCTCCGATTGGTCGTTACTCTGTGGATGGAAACCAGAGGATAGACTGACACTCGCCCCCCCCATACGAGAGTGGAGATGACGAGTCTCTCAGGTAAAATACTCTCGGGAGTGGACGGGCGTTCGGAAAGTTCAAAAACGCGAGACAACGCATCGGGTTTGATGTTCTTAGAACCCGGACTATAGGAAAGGGTAAAGTCGAAGCAACCGAAAAAGAGTGCCCACCGAGCCTGCCTGGAGTGAAGTCGTTTAGCGGATCTGATGTACTCGAGGTTCTTGTGATCGGTCCCATCTGCAGTAAAACACATTCAGATCGTCAGCCAGCTGTCGATTCTCCGCAAACTGTGGGGGTGGTGTCTTGTACATGGTGATGTTCCTCAGACCAGTCCATACTGACGCTGGATCGTTTGCTGAAAGCTCTTTTCTCAGCTTTTCTGAGTATTT